AGGCAGGGTGTAGTTTCGCCTTCCTGCACTGGTGGTGCTGTTATGGCAGCCGTTATGCAGAAAAGACAGGAGTAACTCTTCTTCCTCTGAGGCCTTTGTAGGCGTCTACGGGGTAACAGACATCTTTTTAGATGTTGCTGCTCTGGATGACCTTGGTGGCCTTTGTTAGTGTGGGCAGTACTAATAAATAGAATTGTCCCACTGCAGTTGGCACACATTTTCAAACAGGCTAGGTCAGGGGCAGGAAGTCACTGGTCAGGGACAATATGTCTAGTATAAGGAGAGGTTCCAAAGGTGAAGGGACAGCTGCCAAGCAGTTGTGTTGCTAGACTCTAACATCCAAGGCATATGTCCCAAGACTTCTACTGAGGTCCATAGTTCTCCTTTGAGATATGGAGATGATGCAGTCAATGCCTTACACAGTTTAGGAATGTTGTGTTATTTTATATGCTTTTCATTTCATCTATTACAAATTTTGCCATCATAATGTGACATTACAGTTTATACACCAATTCATTTTTTTTCACTTAAAAAGATTATATTAGTAATAGATTTGATCCAAAGTGGTCAGTCTGGTATTTCATCAGCCACTCAACCATTTATCCTGTTTGTTTGTTGGGGCCGCTGGCCTACTAGGATTGTAGAAATGTCTGTGCCGCCAAGAATTCACCCTGTAACCTATACTTGGTTTTGGTGGGATCCAGTTGTAGGCAGGTGTAGTTTGGCCTCCCTGCACTGGTGGTGCTGTTATGGAAGCCGTCATGCAGAAAGGACAGGAGTAACTCTTGTACCCCTGTGTGTTGAGGTGCCGCTGGCCTACTAGGATTGTAGAAACATCTGTGCCGCTAAGAAATCAACCTGCAACCTATACTTGTTTTTGGGGTGGGATCCAATTGTAGGCAGGTGTAGTTTGGCCTCCCATCACTGGTGGTGCTGTTATGGCAGCCGTCATGCAGAAAGGACAGGAGTAACTCTTCTTCCTCTGAGGCCTTTGTAGGCGTCTACGGGGTAACAGACATCTTTTTAGATGTTGCTGCTCTGGATGACCTTGGTGGCCTAATAAATAGAATTGTCCCACTGCAGTTGGCACACATTTTCAAACAGGCTAGGTCAGGGACAGGAACTCACTGGTCAGGGACAGTATGTCTAGCATAGGGAGAGGTTCCAAAAGGTGAAGGGACAGAGTTTTACTTTATTTTACTTTACAGAGTATGGACTGCATGTTTGTGGCCACCATCTAGGAACTCTTCCCGCATTCAAGTGCCTTTGTTGCCAGACTGTCTTCCAGCCACCTCCTTTGTATGATATTGCTGGGCATTTTAAGCCATATAGAGTATTTTTCTAAAATACTGAGATTATGTTTTGCAAGACCTTTTGTAAAGTACAGCCGTGTTTCATAACCCCTGTTGCCACCTTGTTGGAACTTTGTGTGAATACATATTTGCTGCATTTCTTGGTCTTTGTGTGCATTCTCTCCACTTTGGTTACCAAATACCTGGCTCCACCTACACATTGACCAAATACACCCAGGACTTAAACAATGAAGAAGACATAAAGGTTCATTACAAACAAATAAGGTACAAAAAAAAGTACATGCGAACATGAACTGAAGAGGAAGGACCTCCCTGACTCCTGGGGTACAAGACGCCTAACGGGGCCAAGGTACTCTGTTCCACCTATCCAAAAGGCCTGGTGGATCCCTCTCCTTAGAGCTGGCTAAAACCAACCACTTAGTACTAGGTTTGGGGCTCTCCCGAAAAGAGACCTTCAGGCAGGGGAGGAAGGAAACTAACAGCCACATACCCTCCCTTCTGACTTTAGGGCAGGGCTGGAGACCCACATTGTACTGTCTAGGCGAGTGAAAAACCTGACAGAAAAAAGAAGTGACACATAAGTGCCAATGTGCTGTACACTGGCTAGACCCTGAAGCTAGTTATTTGTCCTATGGGACTGCTAAAGCAAGATCTGTTTGCGGTAGTTGCTAGCTCTCTTCTCCCCACCATTAGATGTACCACTTGTCTGCTGAATTCCCGATGTAGAAAAAAAGTTAAGCCTAATTAATCAGTTTGCATTGGCAAAATGCTGGCATCTGTGTACTCTCACCTACTTTTTTGTACAGGTTCTGAATTCAATTTTGGCTCCAAAGTTGTCTATGAGAATAGGTGCAAGGCAGTGACAGGGAGTACACAGTGGGCTTTCCCATATTGGCCCTGATTTGTCCTGTTATCTGTTATGCCCCCACACAGAGCTTGGGTACCATTGACCAAGTGCACAATAACAAGTCAGCACCACTCAACCATGACTCACCAAGGAACTTGGAAGACTGGTAACCAGGCTTAAAAAAGAACTACGAGATAGGCAAAACAATCACCCAATAGTACACCACCCTACACAAAACACTAAACCGTTAATACATTTTGAAAATTCTTACTATTTAGAAGGAAAGTCTAATTGAGTTTTCATGACCTCATCTCTGCAATTCAAAAGATAACAGCATCTTCTCTGCTAAGGAGGTATAACAGCGGGGATTACATCATATCCTCTCCTCTCTCTCTGCAGTAGAAGGAAACTACAGTTCCCATCAATCACAGGGAATTGTAGTGAATGTGCGTGGGTACACTAGGCCTGTACATGTTAAATGTGTCTGAGAGTCTCGGTCTGCCCACCACTGCAAGTGGGGCTGAATTACATCACTGCTTCCTGGAGAAAGAACTACAGAAGGGATGTGCCAAGACCAGTGGCTGGAGGAATAGCAGGCATAGCAGCCACCGGACTTACAAACAGGAAACCAAAGAGAAATAATGGTTTAATTTGAAAATTAATAGGCTATTTCAGAGCAACCAGAAGATGGATGACATGTTCATGGAAGGTAGGAAATCAGCAACAAGGACATGTAAAGATGTTTGTGCCCGGAGGGAAAAACTCCCAGGAGTGAAAAGTCCAACCAGCAACTTGGCTGGCCGGCTGGACTTGTCCCTACCATTGACCAAGTCAGCCTTTTGCCAGGCACCTTTGCTGCACTACAATTTCTACAGAGATTCATGGGAGCCCTGTAGCAGATAGGAAGGGAGTTGGTGAACCCATACAGGGTTCTTTTTGACAAAAGTGAACTTGTATTTTAAGGAATGTTAACTGGCATTTAAGGCATTCTAAAGTGACAAAATAATATCAGTGGAGACCACTTTAGCAAGCCTTACTTGGCTTACTTTACTTACTAAAGGCTCAGTATAAGGTTCTTAAAATCCTTTTGCACTTTGATGAATTAGGCCATTGTGTGTAAACGGCAGCTTCATTCATTGCTGGGATGTATAGAGTCTGGCACTGATTGAGATCACTGTAGATCCACTTTTCCCCAAGATGATGGCTGAGCTTTGGGTCCCATTGAATCCCTTCTTCCTGGTTTGGCGCACTTATAGGAAAAGCAAAGTTCCCTGCGGGAAAAAAGCAGTTTTAAATGAATTACTTTACTTAAATTTTGTTACATATCAGAAAATGTCTTCATCCCCTTCACTCATTTGTTTTGTATCCCCCTATATGTTTGATTCCATATCCCCTTCATAGCATCTTTGTTACTAGCAAAGCTCAAACCTGTCTGAACGCTGAAAGTGTTTGAAGAGCTTGGTCAGCCAGAAGTCCTGTAATTGGGAAGGTGATGGTTAGAGCCCTATAGATCAATAATTAGGAGAATTAATTGACAGCCTACAGTACTTTGTAGGGTATTAATCTTGTCCACTGGGCATTGGTTCTGCCCAACCCCCAGCTAATTGTAGGGCATTGTGTGCTTTAAATGACAAACTAATGTCACTCCAGCCGAACAACTCCAGATGACCTCAAGTGAACAGCTAACACCATCCAGGAAACAGTACCATGGTGCCAAAGTCAGATTTTGCACCATTTTTTAATTTTCTATAATCATTTTTTTTTAACCACTTGCTTCCAGAGGATTTACCCTCCTTCCTGACCAGTCCATTTTTTGCGATATGGCGCTGCGTTACTGTATTTGACAATTGTGCGGTCATTCAACACTGCATCCAAATTCAATTTATGTCCTTTTTTCCCACAAATGGAGCTTTCTTTTGGTAGTATTTGATCACCTGTGCGTTTCTTCTTTTTTTGTTTGCTATAAACAAAAAAAACACCGACAATTTTGAAAAAAAGCAATATTTTTAACTTTTTGCTTTAAAACATATCCAGTGAAAAAATGTTAAAAATCTAATTTCTTCATAAATTTAAGCCAAAATGTATATACGTGTAAATTAATTGGTTTATGTGAAAGTTATAGCATCTGCAAATGGCGGTATATATACTGGGATTTTTTTTTTTCATACTAGTAATGGCGGCAATCAGCAACGTATAGCGGGACTGCGGAGGGCATTCTGACGCTGGGGGGGAAATGACTGTCACTGACATCCCCACTGACACTAATACAGTGATCAGTGCTAAGAAAAAGCACTGACACTGTACTAATGACACTGGGCAGGAAGGAATTAACATCTGGGGCGATCAAAGGGTTAACTGAGACTGGAAGTCTTGGTTCACACCTGGAACACAGCCAGAGCTACATACAGTTTATACCGCACATCCAGAGACCTCACAGGTTAGTTAGGGATATAGTTCGTTTGGGCCAAGCTGGCCCAAACGAACTATCTAAAGTATGTCAAAAGATGGAGATTGGTTTTAAATCTCCAAGGCAGGTTTTCTTGATGGCATTGAGGCACGTCATTGTCAGGGATCAACAGCAGGGATGGCCAAATCAGCGTAGCCACATTAGGAAACTGAGACCAGGCTATATATAGTAAAGTAAATCTATTAATAGTAAAACAAAAGACATCCAAATACCAGGAACAGGAAACACAGCAAACATATACACTATATTGCTAAAAGTATTGGGCCAGCCCTCCAAATCATTGGATTCAGGTGTTCCAATCCCCTCCAAATCATGTGATTCAGGTGCTCCAATCCCCTCCATGGACACAGGTGTATACAATCATCACCTAGGCATGCAGACTGCTTCTACAAACATTGGTGAAAGAATGGGTCGCTCTCAGGAGCTCAGTGACTCCAAGCGTGGTCCCGTGATAGGTGGTCACCTGTGCAATATTTCCATCCGTGACATTTCCTGGCTACTAAATATTCCACGCTCAACTGTTAGTGGGATTATAACAAAGTGGAAGCAACTGGGAACAACAGCAACTCAGCCACCAAGTGGTAGGCCACGTCACATGACAGGGCGGGGTCAGCGCATGCTGAAGAGCACAGTGCGCAGAAGTCGCCAACTGTCTGCAGAGTCAATAGCTAAAGACCTCCAAACTTGATGTGGCCTTCAGATGAGCACAACAACAGTGCGTAGAGAGCTTCATGCAATGGGTTTCCATGGCCGAGCAGCTGCATCCAATCCTTATATCACCAAGTGCAATGCAAAATGCCAGATTCAGTGGTGTAAAGCACGCCGCCACTGGACTCTAGAGCAGGGGAGATGTGTTCTCTGGAGTGGCCAATCACACTTCTCTGGCAATCCGATGGACGTGTCTGGGTTTGGCGGTGGCCAGGAGAACGGTACTTGCCTGACTGCATTGTGCCAAGTGTAAAGTTTGGTGGAGGGGGGATTATGGTGTGGGGTTGTTTTTCAGGGGTTGGGCTTGGCCCCCTAGTTCCAGTGGAGGGAAATCCTAAGGCGTCAGTATACCAAGACATTTTGGACAATTTCATGCTCCCAACTTTGTGGGAAGAGTTTGGGGATGGCCCATTCCTTTTTCAACATGACTGTACACCAATGCACACAGCAAGGTCCATAAAGACATGGAGGAGCCAGTTTGGGGTGGAGGAACTTGACTGGCCGCACAGAGTCCTGACCTTAACCCCATAGAACACCTTTGGGATGAATTAGAGCGGAGACTGCGAGCCAGGCCTCCTCCCCCGACATCAGTGCCTGACCTGACAAATGTGCTTCTGGAAGAATGGTCCAACCTTCCCATAGACACCCTCCTAAACCTTGTGGACGGCCTTCCCAGAAGAGTTGAAGCTGTTATATCTGCAAAGGGCGGGGCCAACTCAATATTGAACCCTACAAAGACTGGGAGGCCATTAAAGTTCATGTGTGTGGAAAGGCAGGCCGACCAATACTTTTGGCAATATAGTATAAGTAAGACATAAAGATATGTGAACCATAACCCAATAACAAAATACCTTACTAGCAATCTAAGTGACAGGAAGCCTAACCAGCAAACAACCTATATTAAATAAATACAAAAAGGGAACACATATCAACAGGGTAAACTAAAGCTGCAGGGAACAGATGGGAATGGGGAACCAGGACTGGAATCAGGAACAAGGGGAGCAGATAAGAGGCAGCAGGGTACAGGATGCAGGGCAGGCGCAATATCAGGCTATCAGGCAAAACACTGAAGCGACAGATAATAGTAGAAGGGGGAATAAATACCCTCCCAGCAGTCCGCATCAGGTGGAGACTGACTACTGGTATCTGCTGACAGCTGGGAGACACCCACTGGTGGACATCGGAACTACAACCACAGTGCCACCAACAGGTGATCAAGGTCCTGACAGTCACACTCATGTTGATTACTCAGGCTTTCTATATGTAGGAGATAGCAAGAAGCTTGCAGTGTGTGTGTTTGGGAATATTCATCTAGTAAGGGAAAAAGAGTCTTCAGATCATCAGATTACTGTCAGAGGGCAGTGTGGTAGACTGGTGCACGGCAGAAGCTTCTGGATGAAAAACCGAAGCCCAAAGCAGGTAGGCTGCATTCAAGGCTTCATTCAGTTTTGACTGGAGCTTGCCTTTATCATTTTTTTCTTTGCTGTAAAAGTTAAAATTGGGATTTTGGTGCATTTTAATTCTCCCAGAAAAATTTGATTTTCATGTGTTAATGAGCAAATGACATCATAAAGTTCGACTCAGTGAAATCAGCGATGTTCCTAGACGCTGAAAAAATTTTCAACACTGTCTTGAGATTTTACAACTCTTGAGTGTCCTATTTTTAGCTTGCTGAGACACCCCGTCATCATGATTGCCAGTGCAGGTTAGAACTACATTGATGTGCTACAGTGTGGATTCTGAATATGCACATTGAAGTCTCTGGAGAAGAGGCACTGTAGGAGTGTGATTGAGGTTCAGGAGAAATGAGGAATGATTGTGAGCCCAAAATAATCCCAAAATCTAACAGGCTGGCCATCAGTGATATGGAGGTGATGAGCATAGAGAAGCAATGTGCACCTAGGGAAGTAGAGTAACACCAGCAATTTGGAAGGATGGTATTGAATGTACTGCTGGGGAGGTTTGAGAGCACCTAGGTTTTCTTTCGAGAATTTTTAATAAGATTGTAGTGAACATACCAAACAGGAAGCACATTCGTCCTGGAGCTTCAGATACAAAGCATAAAATGATGGTTCAGCCAAACAAAACTACAAAAAGACATACATAGGATATCTACGTAGAGTAGAAGACATTCCAGAATGTCAAAGTGAGACCTTATTCCGTATGCATAAGCTATCTGTACAGACCAGGGGCGGACTGACCATTTGGAAACTCGGGCACTGCCGAGGGCCCGGGGTCAGTAGGGGGCTCCATGAGATGCCCCTGGTACCTTTTTCATAGGCTTTTTTGAGTTTGGGAAGGACACAGGGGCCCCATGATCCCCTATTGCCCGGGGGCCCCATGAGTTGTCCGTCCGCCCCTGGTACAGACTGTTATGAATAAACCAAACCAGCTTAACCTGATCTCCAGACAAGCCAAATAAATGGACACAAAGTCAAGGAACATAATAAAGATCAAGAGTGAGAGAAGAAAGAGAAGATAGAAGTAGTGGGATCCCAATGAGGATGCAAAACACTTGCTGTATACTCAACCATTCCCATCCTGTACAGGAAATCTAGGTTTTCACATGGGGAGGGTTAGGAACAAGTATGTCAGAACATCTGATTCCTGACAACTCAGAAGGATGCATAACAATGGAAATTTATGGGGGAAAAAATTATTCAGGGAGGACAATAATGGGACTCACACAAGGAAGGTTTAGGAATAGGGGCGGACTGACCATTTGGAAACTCGGGCACTGCCCTAGGGCCCGGGGTCAGTAGGGGGCCCCATGAGATGCCCCTGGTACCTTTTTTATAGGCTTTTTTGAGTTTGGGAAGGACACAAGGGCCCCATGATCCCCTATTGCCCGGGGGCCCCATGAGTTGTCAGTCCGCCCCTGGTACAGACTGTTATGAATAAACCAAACCAGCTTAACCTGATCTCCAGACAAGCCAAATAAATGGACGCAAAGTCAAGGAACATAATAAAGATCAAGAGTGAGAGAAGAAAGAGAAGATAGAAGTAGTGGGATCCCAATGAGGATGCAAAACACTTGCTATATACTCAACCATTCCCATCCCATACAGGAAATCTAGGTTTTCACATGGGGAGGGTTAGGAACAAGTATGTCAGAACACCTGATTCCTGACAACTCAGAAGGATGCATAACAATGGAAATTTATGGGGAAAAAAATTATTCAGGGAGGACAATAATGACTCACACAAGGAAGGTTTAGGAACAGGGGCGGACTAACCATTTGGAAACTCGGGCACTGCCCTAGGGCCCAGGGTCAGTAGGGGGCCCCATGAGATGCCCCTGGTACCTTTTTCATACGCTTTTTTAGTTTGGGCAAGAACACAGGGGCCCCATGATCCCCTACTGCCCCATGAGTTGTCAGTCCGCCCCTGTTTAGGAACTTTGGTGTGGGGACACTTTGGACACCTTCAGCTAGCAGGTAAGTGTGCTGAGAATTATTTTGTATTTCAATGATTTTTATTAATTTATAAACATTAAAAAAAACAGGAGCAACAAGACACGCCCACACAGGGGCCATCAATTGCACATAAAAAAATAAAGAAAACAGTGCTCTAACACCAACAGAGCAAAAGGTGCGCCCACATAGGGGCTATCAATGGCACATAAATGACAAATACATTGGTATAACACCAACAGTAACTCAAACAAAAGGCAGCTATCCACTGCCACACCAAAAACAAACAGAAATAGAAAAGGAAGGACGAGTACAAAAGGAAAAAGATGACAAGACCAAGAGCAAGTTCCTTAAACTAGTTGCAGCGGGCCTTTCCCTGCAACTAGTTTAAGGTTTTTTACCTTCATGTATTCTATGCACCCTCTGATCCAGTAACGTTTTCGACAGCCTCTGCTGTCTGGAGTCTCTTCCTCTTCATTGGCAGAGACAGCAGCGGGAGTCCGTGCTGTCAATCACAGCCAGTAAGCCAATGAGGGAGAGAGCGGGGGGCGGGCCTGAGCCATTGCACTGGACATTGGACACATATCCTCAAGGAAGAGCACATAGCGGTGCCCCCAGGGCGAACGGCTTTCCCTAGGGGCACTGCTCGAGGGGGAAGAGTTAGGAGCGCCAGAGAGGACCCAAAAAGAAAAGGATCTTGTCAGGGCAGGAGCTGGGAAACAGACAGGCAGGCCTAACAACAATGTAATGCACAGGCTGACGACAACCACCACCCACAGACCAAAGTCCCTCAGGGCGCGGAGTCTAAGTCCCAGGCTGCCCTTTACCAGGGCCCCCGATGGTGGGGATGGACTTGACGCAGCCAGGATCCAGGTCGCGGCCCCCGAGGCACCCCAGCTGCGGTAATGGCCGCCGCCAATGGCGTGTAGCTTGTGGTAAAGACAATAGAGTAGTCGGGCAGGCCGGGTCAACAACAACGAGACAAAAACGGTACAGGACAGCAGACGAGAATCACAGGTCACGAGCCGGGTTCAGCAACAGAGGGTCAGATCAAAGGAGAACACAAAGAATGGTCAGGTCACAAGCCGAGTCAGATTCCAGGAGAGTCACGAGAGTCAGAACAGAGTAACAGCAACACAAAGACACAAGACACAAGTGCAAAGAGCATGTGCGGAACACAGGCTTATATGTCATCAGCCACGCCCCTCTGGGGGATGGACCTCAGAGACCTGAAGGCATAAAAGATTCCTACCATGCTCTGCAGAAATCCAAGATGGATGCCAGCACATGGAGTAACATAACCTCTGGTAAAAAGGTAGGACCTTGACAGATCTGGACTGCTCTGTGCAAAACCACTGCACAGAGCAGGTAAGTATAAACATGTTTGTTATTTTTTTTTAAGAAAAAACTGAAGGTTTAGTGTCATTTTAAATAGGCGCTGCCTGATCCAATATGGCTGCTAAAGACACATGGGACGGAAGCATCCAATCTGACCACTTCCCCATTGACTCAGGAAACCATAGAGGAACCATGTTCCTCTTAGGTTCTTCTCTAACTGCAGTGTTGCTGAGGAACAGCACCACCTACAGTGGAGAAAGTAGACTGCACCTACCTTCAAACTCACTAAAAGTTAAACCTTGGGGAAACCTATCACAGGGAACACAGTACAGAATGTACCTCTGGGGAGGTTTAGAAACACCTGGATTCTGGTAACACAATACAGATTTAGGAACAACCAATCTCGGAGACACATTAATGGATTATATAGCTGTGCGTTTGTTAGGAACGGTGGGGCTTAGAGACACAGCATTAAAGCAGGTAATGAGCATTTAAAGGCCTGGTATGGTAGAGTGTAGTACAGTAGAGTACAGCACTGGATTTGAGATAAGCTGGGATAGGAAAGAGTGGATTCATGCTGTACAGTTCAGGTTCAGATAGCTCAGTCCGGGGTGAGGGGATTTGAAGACAAAGGCAGCTGAGTGCAGCTGTCTCTCTTTGGTGGACAAGAAAGCGTGGGGTGGGTGAGGAAGGAAGGAATGTAAAGGGGGATTACAAATGAGCATACAGCAGCTGAGGCTCCCAAATCTCTAATGAGAAGGTTGTCCTTGCTAATTACTTAACCCGACAGACTTCCTTTTTATGATTCATTCACAGTATATGATGATGTTTACATTGTACATTGAGTTATTAATTGGAGTCAAAAAAAATTTTTCTTTGCTTATGTTCTTGGCAGTTTAGATTTCTCGTGTTCGCAAATCTTTTGAAATATAAGGGAATTCATTGCAATAATGAAGTACTCATTCACTTAGATTGGTTGACGCTTTTTATTTGGTGCCACGCCAGGAAGTAGAAAAAAATCTAACCTTACAGTGGATCCCCCCCACTCGTTATGTCTAGGGGTGAAGGAAAAAAGGAGAAATACACTTATTTAGTTCTCAAGCCGGGTCCTCCAGCAGTGTAATTGGTTCCCTGCAACCTGTTCTCTAAGCCACTCATGGCTGGAGTCACATACTCACCCCAACAGGGGCGGACTGACAACTCATGGGGCCCCCGGGCAATAGGGGATCATGGGGCCCCTGTGTCCTTCCCAAACTCAAAAAAGCCTATGAAAAAGGTACCAGGGGCATCTCATGGGGCCCCCTACTGACCCTGGGCCCTCGGGCAGTGCCCGAGTTTCCAAATGCTCAGTCCGCCCCTGCACCCCAACATGTACAATGCAGGGATAATAGCCCTGCATTGTACATGAAGATGCCAAGCCACCACTCTTGGACCATAAGTAATCTTGCATGCTCCTTTGGAGTGGGAGGGGAGGGCACTACAAGGGTATATATTTTTTCTCATTCCTGGAGTTGGGCTTTAATCTGGTTAACAATCTTATGATGTTGAGACTGAGCATTGTTCCCTAGGTAACAGAGGGTGTGGGCATTGTCTCATAGGTAATAGAGAGTGTGGACATTTTCTCAAAGGCAACAGAAGACTGGACTTGGTTTTTGAGGTAACAGGAAAGTGGGCATTGTCTCAGTAGTAGCAGAGGAGTAAAAATTGTTTTGGAGGTAACAGAGCAAATGGGCACTGTGTAATAGGTAACAGAGAGTGTGGGGCATTGCTCCAAAGGTAAAAGAAAAGTCGACATTGTCTCAGAGGTAGTGGGCATTGTCTCAGGTAACAGAAGAGAGGGCATTGTCTCAGAGGTAACAGAAGAGAGGGCATTGTCTCATAGGTAAGAGAAGAGAGGGCAATGTCTCATAGGTAAGAGAAGAGAGGGCATTGTCTCATAGGTAAGAGAAGAGAGGGCAATGTCTCATAGGTAAGAGAAGAGAGGGCATTGTCTCAGAGGTAACAGAAGAGAGGGCAATGTCTCATAGGTAAGAGAAGAGAGGGCAATGTCTCATAGGTAAGAGAAGAGAGGGCATTGTCTCATAGGTAAGAGAAGAGAGGGCATTGTCTCATAGGTAAGAGAAGAGAGGGCATTGTCTCATAGGTAAGAGAAGAGAGGGCATTGTCTCATAGGTAACAGAAGAGAGGGCATTGTCTCATAGGTAACAGAAGAGAGGGCAATGTCTCAGAGGTAACAGAAGAGTGGGCATTTCTCATAGGTAAGAGAAGAGAGGGCATTGTCTCATAGGTAACAGAAGAGAGGGCAATGTCTCAGAGGTAACAGAAGAGAGGGCATTGTCTCAGAGGTAACAGAAGAGAGGGCATTGTCTCAGAGGTAACAGAAGAGAGGGCATTGTCTCATAGGTAAGAGAAGAGAGGGCAATGTCTCATAGGTAAGAGAAGAGAAGGCAATGTCTCAGAGGTAACAGAAGAGAGGGCATTGTCTCAGAGGTAAGAGAAGAGAGGGCATTGTCTCAGAGGTAACAGAAGAGAGGGCAATGTCTCAGAGGTAACAGAAGAGAGGGCAATGTCTCAGAGGTAAGAGGAGAGGGCATTGTCTCAGAGGTAACAGAAGAGAGGGCAATGTCTCAGAGGTAACAGAAGAGAGGGCAATGTCTCAGAGGTAACAGAAGAGAGGTTCATTGTCTCAGAGGTAACAGAAGAGAGGGCATTGTCTCAGAGGTAACAGAAGAGAGGGCAATGTCTCAGAGGTAACAGAAGAGAGGGCATTGTCTCAGAGGTAACAGAAGAGAGGGCAATGTCTCAGAGGTAACAGAAGAGAGGGCATTGTCTCAGAGGTAACAGAAGAGAGGGCAATGTCTCATAGGTAAGAGAAGAGAGGGCAATGTCTCATAGGTAAGAGAAGAGAGGGCATTGTCTCATAGGTAAGAGAAGAGAGGGCATTGTCTCATAGGTAACAGAAGAGAGGGCATTGTCTCATAGGTAACAGAAGAGAGGGCAATGTCTCAGAGGTAACAGAAGAGAGGGCAATGTCTCAGAGGTAACAGAAGAGTGGGCATTGTCTCATAGGTAAGAGAAGAGAGGGCATTGTCTCAGAGGTAACAGAAGAGAGGGCAATGTCTCAGAGGTAACAGAAGAGAGGGCATTGTCTCAGAGGTAACAGAAGAGAGGGCATTGTCTCAGAGGTAACAGAAGAGAGGGCAATGTCTCATAGGTAACAGAAGAGAGGGCAATGTCTCATAGGTAAGAGAAGAGAGGGCATTGTCTCAGAGGTAACAGAAGAGAGGGCAATGTCTCAGAGGTAACAGAAGAGAGGGCATTGTCTCAGAGGTAACAGAAGAGAGGGCATTGTCTCAGAGGTAACAGAAGAGAGGGCAATGTCTCAGAGGTAACAGAAGAGAGCGCAATGTCTCAGAGGTAACAGAAGAGAGGGCATTGTCTCAGAGGTAACAGAAGAGAGGGCAATGTCTCAGAGGTAACAGAAGAGAGGGCAATGTCTCAGAGGTAACAGAAGAGAGGGCATTGTCTCAGAGGTAACAGAAGAGAGGGCAATGTCTCAGAGGTAACAGAAGAGAGGGCATTGTCTCAGAGGTAACAGAAGAGAGGGCATTGTCTCAGAGGTAACAGAAGAGAGGGCATTGTCTCAGAGGTAACAGAAGAGAGGGCAATGTCTCATAGGTAAGAGAAGAGAGGGCATTGTCTCATAGGTAACAGAAGAGAGGGCAATGTCTCAGAGGTAACAGAAGAGAGGGCATTGTCTCAGAGGTAAGAGAAGAGAGGGCATTGTCTCAGAGGTAACAGAAGAGAGGGCAATGTCTCAGAGGTAACAGAAGAGAGCGCAATGTCTCAGAGGTAAGAGAAGAGAGGGCATTGTCTCATAGGTAACAGAAGAGAGGGCATTGTCTCAGAGGTAACAGAAGAGATGGGAATGTCTCAGAGGTAAGAGAAGAGAGGGTAATGTCTCATAGGTAACAGAAGAGAGGGCAATGTCTCATAGGTAACAGAAGAGTGGGAATTGTCTCACAGGTAACAGAAGAGAGGGCAATGTCTCATAGGTAACAGAAGAGAGGGCAATGTCTCATAGGTAACAGAAGAGAGGGCAATGTCTCATAGGTAACAGAAGAGAGGGCAATGTCTCATAGGTAACAGAAGAGAGGGTAATGTCTCATAGGTAACAGAAGAGAGGGTATTGTCTCAGAGGTAAGAGAAGAGTGGGCATTGTTTTAGAAGTAAGAGAAGAGTGGGCATTGTTTTAGAAGTAAGAGAAGAGTGGGCATTTTGTCAGAAGTAACAGAAGAGTGAGCATCATCTCAGGGGTAACAGAAGAGAGGGCAATGTCTCAGAGGTAACAGAAGAGAGGGCATTGTCTCATAGGTAACAGAAGAGAGGGCATTGTCTCGGAGGTAAGAGAAGAGTGGGAAATGTGTCAGAAGTAACAGAAGAGTGAGCATCATCTCAGAAGGTGAGCATCATCTCGGGTAAAAGAAGGATGGGCATTGAGATAACAGAGGCAGTAGGTGTAGTCTTTTCTGGCAACCAAAATAACAGACATGGCCTCAGAGGTTAATGAGGGGAGAGTGCTTGATCATGAGGTAACAGAGAGAGTGGGTATGTTCTCTTGAAAGAAAAACTATAGGCATGGTCTTAATTAACGAAGAGAGAATGGAATGGTCAAAGGTGGTGAAGTTGGTGCATAGTTGAAAGGGGACATGATATTCGAGCTGCCTTACACACATATCTTTTTTGAGTAACTGGTAAAATGAGGTCATGGCTACAGGTGTACAGTAAAGCATACTAAAGTTGACATAACAATCATGCTAACTCCATGGTGCTACAGCCCATGAATGGCCTTAGTCTTCTGAACATAGAGATATCTTGTGGATAGAACCTTTATTCAGCCTAAAGTACAAACTACAAACTAGTATGGTGCCTTGGACAAGGCTGGGACAAGGGGTGTGCTGGAGTGGCGGTTGCCCTGGATGCAACAGTTTATTATATGGATGGGGGGCACCAGTGAGATCATTCTGATACAAGGCATTTTGACAAGCGGATGACTGCTAGGGGTAGTATCCCCTAAGCTCGCACATAATGAAGGAGGATGGGGGGGGGGGGTACAGTTTGGCTTCTTTGCCCTGGGCGCTGGATAACTTTGCCCCAGTGCTGGCTGGGGAACTAATACACCTAAAAACGTACAGTTGACTGCCTTTTTTTTTTTTTTTGTCACTTAGGAAACTTGTTTAAATGTATTTCTTGGTTCTTAGATTGGACCTAATTGCTTCTGACTCCAGGGGAATTTGACCACATCTAACATGGGGAATGGAGTATATCTGGCAGTTATTCTCAAGGCTCCGATGAAAGCGGCCATTCACTGACTTATGTGCAAACTACTAGTCCCAGAGGAGTGACTTGGTGTATAGGTTCAGCTTCACTACCCCGACATTAGTATGCAACCCATGAGTCAAGGTATGCCCCGTTCCATCAGAGCCTATCAAACAGGTGTTTTGCTTTGTGACAGATTCCCTTTAGCGTCGTAAATCAAGACAATGGCCATTTTCCCCTTGATTTTACTTTACTTTTAAATGGAGGTGAACTCTGCTTGTCCTTAGTCCTCGGGTTTAACTGCTAACCAGATTGCCGAACAGCATCTATTTAACAAAAGGTTTAACAGCAGTACGCTGGGGTTGTATTTTCTGATTTACTAGAGCATAAATGGAGAAGCCTGGTCTAGAAATACAACTTTCTAATGAGCTTATAAATAATCAATTAGTGCTACTCTGTTTACCACCACTCTTCCACCGCCTTCCACTGGAAGCCAGACTCTCACTGACCACATCGTCTTCTCCACTCCCAGCCAGTGGAGGTTAACCCTATTGGAGGGTGTTGGATGCACAGCACACCACCGGTATCCTCACTGACTGCTAGATGCTTGAGCCTATAAAGTCCATACGGAGATATCTGCTACCGAGAGATTTCCTTTTCTACCGTGCCAAAAAACAAAAGTAGGAGTCGTCTGATCTATGGATACTGTATATCTGTGGAAGCTTCAGCTATTTGGCAGAAGTTGAGAAATGTCATGTTACTAACATTTGCTTTCCATCTGAGTGAAAACTTATCTGTACATTTTTTTTTTTTTTTTAGCAATTTCGAGAACTTCAGTATCTTTCGTTGGGATTACTGCTCAGGAAGTCAGTTGTTTGCTGGAAAATATATCTGTTCCAGCTACAGTTTTATTTCAGATTATCTCCACTTCAGATAAGGCTCTGGAACTTTTACATAGGAGGAATAAAGAGCTGCAGTTCATAGCGCCCAATCAGATTTTGACAGTTTAGCACAGACTTTCCCAACCTTTTCGACAGAGGAACCATTGAAAAAATTTTCCAGTTTTAGGGAACCCCTGTTAAAAATTACTATATCTACAACGTTAGTGT